ATGAGGAGGAATGCTTTGTTAAATAGATCCTTGATCCCACCTCTGACCTAACACTTTCAATCACGGTAAATCTCAGCTATGCCCTTCCTACCTCACTCAGGGCTTTCCATATGTTTTGTTTTCTGACTCTTAAGCACATTCACACCCATCACCAAAGAGTATGATTTCTGTCACTTTAGATTTGGATGTGTCCCAATCTACCCCCATTACATGCAGCCAACACTGGAAGGAGAATGTCTCCCACACCATGGGAAAAAGGGTTCTGTAGTAAAGAGCACAAGTCTTTCTTCTCTCAGTATTATTCCTGGCACATCCTCAGATTATTGACTCTGGTGATATAAAAATGTGTCATTCCAATATTATACTGTCTCAGTATATATTCTTTCAAATACCTGAAAATGACTTCTCAGACCCCAAAGGAACATGGCATCAAATAGCTGGGCAAAGACTCTCAGGGCACCTTCCATCATCTGTGCAAGGAAAAGAATTAACAAAAATAAGCTTTTTTTTGTTTTGTTTTGTTTTTTTGAATGCTCAGTAACAGCAATTTATGCATTGCTATGTGGATTAGCAGAAGCAGCCAGGAAAGTCAACCTGCCAGAGTGCTATTAACAGCTTTGAGAAAGTCCCATGCCTTCTCTGGTATTGGGCCCTCCATACTGCATTGTATGAGAATATTATTAGCCTGACAGTTGACATTGTGAAGCTAAGATTCGCCTTCATCTTACACTTTTGCTTTGCTGCCTCAGTCATGGTGAAGCTGAGCACCCCATCTCAAGCTGCCTGAAGGAGCCCAAGTCTGTTCTCTGAAGTCCAGGGCTTTCTGTCTGTCACTTGCCTTTCTCACACCCCCTTTCACATCAGCCACCATGTAGACTGGCTTGTTCCTGGCCTTATGCCCTGCCTTATGTCCGCAGTGCTGGACAGGGAGATGTGCCGCAGTGCTGGACAGGGAGATGTGTGTCCCTGGCTGGAGGCAGCATGATTTACTGTCTTCCAGGGCAGAGAGCTTGCTGGCTACAAATTCTATTTTTGCCCCTGCACTTTTTGATGTTTAAAACTATTCTTTAACCAAAAGGCTCAGCTTTCATGAAGGGCTTCGAAGAATAATTTAATTTCACAAGATCCTTTACATAGTAATGGCAATAAAGCCCGCTTAGCTTTCACGGAGTCTTGCTTTTACCAGTCAGTACTGGGGGCAAGTCACTGACCACAGAACCAACCAGGGACTGCTACAAGTGCAGTCAGACTCATGCAGTCAGATTTATAAAAATACATTTATTGTTTCAGAAGAGATGACAGCAAACTCTCTGTAAGTAGTTGTACATACACATGAAAATATTAATTACTGGCTCCAGGCACTGAATGTCTTCAAACAGGCCCTGAATTCCAGGGAAACAGAAGGTATATTGCAGATGGGCAATATATATATATCACACTATATATATATATAGATATATCACACTGTGGTGATGTATAGTTCAGATGGCCTTAGGAAGAAGAAACACAGACCTAAAGGTGAAAACCCCTGAAATATTGGTAGGAAATACATACTCACCGGGGAGCATTAAAAAGAGGTTACTTACCTTACCCTCAGCATTTAACCCTCCACAGAATGAACTCCCATACCAACTGCTACACGAGAAAGTATTCAGAGCTCATCCCTGGGGACAGCTTCTGTAGCTAAGCAAATTATCACATTGTAACAAACGTCGTAAACCATGTCTTAAATTAATAATGAGAAAGAGTACAGAAAGCCTTTCCTGTGCTTGTCATACCACCTTCACAAAGTGATCGCGTGTGAATAGCTTATCTTTGGGCTTCATTTTGAGATGCAACACCCGAACTGAGCGATGCTTCAGTGGTGACGGATTGCTGCCATCCTGTGGCAGGCACATGCATTTCAGACTGACACTTGCCTGAGAGAAAACAGTCCTTTAAGGGTGTCGTTTTAGAATGAACTAAACAGTATTATTCTTAAATGCCACAGAAGGAAAGACAGTCGTCTGTAACCTGCAATATTCATATCTTAGAAATCCATGGCCCGTTACAGCGATTCTACTAAATTACTCTCCAAGGCAGAAAATAAGGACCAGGTGGGAATTGGCTCATGTCACCTTTTTACTTGGAGAGGTATTGCAGCATTCAGTGGTCTACCTCTAGCCCAGTTCTAACCTTAACCATTTCAGACTGCTAGTTCCAGAATGGACATAAATAAAAGGATATCCCTGTTTCTGATGGCAACTCGGTGTCTTCAATTGGAAAAGCCATCAAGACAGCTCCAATAAGGTGAGCCCTCTGCTAAGATTGTATCTGAACTCAATACAAATTGAGCACCTTTCCTAACACTGAGTTTGAGGGATGTGTTTAGGGAGATGTGTGGCATAAATGAACCAGTGAATGACCAGTTGATTGTCACTTTCTAAGACTCTGTTTCTCATATCTTGTTCCCAGCTCTAGTCTTTGGTGGGAAAAAGTTTTCCATAACATGGCTTTGAGACCCAGGCATCTGGAAACATGTTAGAACTTGCAAAGTGACAGTATTGTTTAACTTGTTCATCAACGACCTGGATGAGAGAGCAGACGCCTCATCAGCAAGTTCACTGATGACACAAAGCTGGGAGGAGTGCTGTGCAGCGCTTCAGGACCTTGACAGGCTGGGCAGATGGGCAGGGAGGAACCTTCTGGAATTCTACAAAAGGAAATGCAGGGTTCTGCACCACTACAAGCTGGGGGCTGACCTCCTGTGGAGAAGGACCTGGGTGTCCTGGTGGCCATCAAGCCATCAAGCCATCCATGAGCCAGCAGCCTGTCCTTGTGGCCATGAAGGCCATGGAATCCCGGGGTGCATGAGGAAGGGCATTGCCAGCAGGCCAGGGGAGGTGATCCTGCCCCTCTGCCCAGCCCTGGTGAGGCACATCTGGACTGCTGTGTCCAGTCCTGGGCCCCTCAGGACAAGAGAGACATGGAGCTCCTGGAGTGGCTCCAGTGGAGGGTAACAAAGGGGACTGAGGCACTGGAGCATCTCTTAGGAGGAAAGGCAGAGGGAGCTGGGCCTGTTCAGCCCCGAGAAGAGGCACTGAGAGGGGAGCTCATCCATGGCTGTGAGTGTCTGAAGGGAGGTGCCAGGAGGATGCAGCCAGGCTCTGCTCACTGGTGCTGAGCAGTAGGACAGGAGGCAATGGGCAGAAAGTGATGCACAGGAAGCTCCACCTGAACATGAGGAAAATCTTCTTTACTGTGTGGGTGACTGAGCACTGGAACAGATTGCCCAGAGAGGCTTTGGAGTCTCCCTGACTGGAGACGTTCCAGAACTGTGTGGACACAATCCTGTGTAGTGTGCTCTAGGATGAGGAATGTGGTATCCAGGTTTTATACACTATAAAGGAAAAAAAGGAAGAAAAAATGCAGGAACAACATTCAGTAACTAGATCTCCTGGTTCATAGTTTCTTTATGAATTATTGTTAGGACTGAACAGTGATCACTTAATCCAGCCAGCTGGATTGCTGATCAAGGCATTCAAACAAAACAGCCAGAATTCCTGAGGTAGGTCCTGGTCAAAAGAATGTTAGCAAGGGAAGAAGAAATTTCATTTCACCAGTTCATTTCACTAGGACAAACCATTTTAACACATTCCCTCTGGTTCCCCAGGTGTAAGAAACTTTGTAAGGAAGGTAACTAGCACTTCCCCATCATTAGATGGCCCCTATAAAATGCTCCAACCACACTGCTACCTGCAAAATTGTGGATGCTTTGAAAATAAATTGTATTGTCTTTGCGTTACAATAGACAGATTACATTACAGGTAGATTGCCTGTATTGCACTGTTTCTGTTTAGGGTTAGAATAAACAGTGCTGTGCCCACAAGAAAAGCAGAACACTAAATTCACAATGTGACTCAAGATCCATTTTGTTCCAAGATTTCGTATTTTACTGAATGACAGTCTTAGTGGTTTTTGGAATGTCTTTATATCCCAGGATAACTTGGGAGGTTCATGAGTTTTAAAAATTAGGATTAGTATCTAAATCAAATAATAATTCCACCATTGCCCAAAAGAAAGATACACTGCAGAGTGACATGAGGAGACAATAGGTTCTGGTTTGGATCCATCAGAACCAGGAGCACTCCACTAGAAAGCTCTGCCAGTGAGGCTGCTGCTGTCCACTGCCTGTGGCTGCCAGAGATGGAGAAGCAGGCTTCCTGATGCACGGGCTCTGCACCATCTACAGCTTCATGAGCTGAAACCCAGACCATAAATTGTCCCTTTGGAAATGAGCAGGCAGCTGCTGTGAAAGGTGCAGTGCAGATACACACTTGATTATCGACACTGTTGCAAAGTACACAGGGAGCCATTTCTGGTCTAGCTATGCTTTCCAAGTGACAAGCACACATAAAAAATCCCAAGGTAATCCACTCTGAAAGCAACAACGATGTCAACAGCTACCCTACTACTCCAAGTTAAAGGCTACAATTCCCTGGCACAGTCAACAGCAGATGCTCTTTATCACCAACTCTTTACACCAGCTGGGAGTCCAGTTACATCATTATCTGTCACCAGAAAGGAACTGATGTTGTTTTCCACTTTCTTCCCTTAACCAAAACCACATAATTTTAGGACTCTTGACTACCTCTGACATCCTGATGTCCAGACAGACACTGACTCAAAATTTTAAGTCTATTCATGAAGTGAATCACAGTAAAAGGGTTAAATAAAAACAAACAAATTAATAAAGCAAGCCATACAAATAAATTAAGTACTTTAAAATTCAATTACTCTAGGGCAACTTTGCTTCCAGGACTCTTCATATCAAAAATGGAGTGGATTTGCACAAAATTTCTGCTAAGATGTCTGTCAGATGCTTTTGGGTGGCCATTTACAATTGTCACATGCTAAAACTAAAAAGAAGAATGAAATCCATCTCCCTGAAAAAAATGCAACATTCAATAATGGATCTGGAAAAAAAGGATGCATAATAGAAAATACAAAGTACATAGAACTCAGCAGAAAAGAAGATTTGCATGGTTCTTTTTATTCAAATGTTTTGAGATCTGGTTTTTTTTTTATGTACATATATAGGTATACATATAATACTTGCCACATTTGGCAGCTGTTTAATGCATACAAGGTAAACAGGTACTTTTCATAATGGAAGTCTTGTTTAGTCTGACGAGAGGCATGAAATTCCCAAGCAGATGCTTATCTCACTAAACTGTCTCTGGTTGTTATTTTCAGTTTCATTACTTTTAGTAGTTTGTGACTTTAAGACATCCAAGATTTGTGAAAAGTAACATAAACTTTGACAGAAGTTTTTTTGTTGTTGTCTTTTTTTTTTTTTTCTTTTTTGATCTTCTCTTAATTGTTGTTTTATTTTGTTCCATCTTGTCACTTCAAGCCTCATCAGGAGATTGAAGCACCTCTGAATAATCTCACACAGAGAAATGGTGGGTTTTGCATGTGCACCTTTTTTAAAATAAAGCAGGGTCATCCCCTCTGCCCATTTCCAGGCATCAAAAAGTCAACATCAAGAATTTCTACATAAAAAGCATGCCATAATGAATTTATAACACACCAGCTACAGAAATAAATGGCTGCTTTCTTTTTAGAGAAGCCACAAATGAATTAAAATAAAACAACAAAAAAACTTCTTCACATATGCCACACTTACGGAGAGAATCTATTTATTCCTGAGCAGGCTGGCAAGTATCCATTGGTGGTCAAGTGGGGGAGAGGGAGGAGAAAAAGAATTTTAAGCTGAAAAAGGCACAAAAGACAAAGATATTGAGGCCTTTAGGAAAAAAAAACCCAAACCAACATTATGAGAACTATCTTCAAACCATGTTGTGTTACTGATTAAAACAGTATTTGATGATGATGATAAAGCTGAACATTAAAGATGATGCAAGGTAAAATTTCTCTTTAACTAACAAAACCCCTGAAGACTTTAGATGGAAAAAACTGAAGGAAACACATGTTTATCTCTTTAGAACCTCCTATTCCAATGCCTTCAGATATTCATTCTATTCATTTGGATGAAGAATCAATAGGAATTCAACCTAGAAAAAAAATGGGTTGTCTTTTTTTTCACTTAGTACTCCTTACATTTCAATCTAACCTTTTAGACTGGCAAAATTACTTGTGACAAGTATTTAAAGTAGAGATTATGGGGTACATTTATTTTACAGGATTTGTAAAATACATTCTCATCTGTTTGAATGCAGGTACCTCATCACAGAGTAGACAGTGCAAACAATTTACAAGGTAAATTTGTAGTAAAATTTAGAGATACACAGCAACAAACATCTCAATATAATACTAACTTGGAAGCCAGGTGCAAGTTTTTCAAACTGTACATGTATTTTTAAAAAGATACTGCCTTTTAAAATGTTTATATATCGAAGCATTTTCGTTAAGATCAAACACCTTTTAAAACTAGTAAAATTATAGCAGCAATATGGGAGAGTATCTAAGCCACATGAACATTATTGATTAAAATGAAACCAAACATGAAATACTACCTTAGTCAGATGTTTGTGTTAATGCCAAGAACAAGTAACACACAATTATTTATGTCAAACCAAGAAATCTGGGATTTGTTGATGTATGAACAAATCTGTTGTATAGTTCAGAGTTACCATTTACAAAGCAGTGTTGATTGCTGACTTTCACAATCACCTTTCTGGAGTGTCCTGGAAACTCACTTGAGTTCTTAAATTCCAAGTCTGACTAAGATCATTTTTTCATCTCTGTTTAGGAACTAAGGATACTTTTAAATATGGATTCCTTAAAATGAGGCTTATTTTATTTACACTATTCAAAGTTTACCTTTCCTTCCAACAACAAAATGTGCAGGAGGATTTACTACATGCTATACAATGTAAAAATAGACTTTAAAAAGTCAGAACAATGCAAGTAAAACTGTACAATGTTTGTTCCCTGCTCCAGTTCATTGCACTATTAAGTTAAACTGGATGAGTTGTCATGCCCGGATGACTTACTGTAGGATCAGAAAATCCACACACACAGAGGAGGTAAATGAATACTGCTTTAGGTATAGTGCCAAATGAAAAAAATACTATGAGTTATATCCAAGGAAAGCTTCTCATCACAGAAAGGAGCATGGCTAATTCTGAAAGGCAGCTCTCTTCATGTAGGACACAGAACTGCAAAAAAGTCACAAATACACATTGGTAAATATCACTGAAGTTGGTCTCATAAAAATGTAACGTATAAACTAAAATATTTAAATGCTGGATTCTACCCTATTAGTAACACAGTAAAATCTAGTAATCAACTGAAACTGGCAATTAAGTTTTCAGCCTGTCTCAAAAGGTAATGAAGTGACACAACCCACTAACTTTAACTAGTATTATCCAGAAATGAGTTAACTAAAGGTCATGTCTTAAATAGTGCTTTTTAAAGTGTTATATCAGAAAACAGAACATTAAATAACAGGTGACGCATGCAGTTATATTTTAAAAATATACTGACAATCTGAGATTCTAAGTCTACTTTCTAATTCTGGTGCGTGAACTAGAAACACACAGTGGCAAGTAAGACATGTCCTTCATGTGTTTCTCATTCCTGTTTCAATGTAAGACACAAACCTCAGAGCAATCCAGCTTTCAAACCAATGCTAGCACAACACAAAAGCAAATAAAGAAGTCAGGTGTAACAATTAAACAAAAACTTCAAAGGCAAGAAAATAAATGCTCTCATTATCTGAAATATTTGCGTAGTTTAAAAATAGAACAAGGTGCAAATTCTTGCTTCATTAAAACAAAAAAGAAGTAAGTTTTTACTTGAAAGATCAGGTATGAAATAGCAAGGAGAAAGATGGGCAATTGTTCTGCTTTCACGACATCTACATTCAGAAAAAAGAAGAAAACAGTACGAGACTTCATGCATTTTACTAACTAGTAATGTATAGCATATTATTTTTAGCACTCTTTTTGTCACAATTACTGTTTCAGGACAATTGGAAAAGAACACAAAGCTTAGCAGTAAATACATCTTATAAAATTTACTGTAATAACACGTCTGGTTTCAAACGCAAGCATTTCGGCTGTAAGTACATACTTATATTTTATATAACAGTTACGTAAAAATTATCCTTGTACACAAAGATAAATCTTCACATTTTGTAAAAACTCCAAGTAAAAAAAGCAGTAATCTTGAAATAACAGGTCTAGATCTGATACCAGACAACCTACCCTAATACTTAACTCTATGTATATACTGGTTAAAATTTCATATAGATCAGTGATTTGTTCTGGAAGTAGCTAAATTAAGGAACTCTTGCTTCCTGTAGATTTTGTCAGATATTCTTCACTACCCATATGGCAATAAAAAAAGATAATTCCCCTTCCCACAATACAGTCCTCAGCTTCTACTTTAAACCTGCTGTGAACTCCATCCCAGCAGGCCCTCCCCATGTTCTCATGTCCCCAAAGAAACAGGAGCCCCTGTATGGGAATTCAAGTAGTGGAATACACCAGACCCAAGGAGATGTTGGCTTTTCAAGGCAGCAGCCATCAGCTCAACACAAACAGCAGTTTCAGTCCTTGTCCTAACTAGATGCTGTTCCCTACAGTATTTCTGTTACTTCCTCAACACCTGCTTCTGTCTTGTGGGGTTGAAATTGTCAATTATTATTTGTGAGATTAAAGAGACAAACAACTACACAGAAGCATTTTCTTCAGAAAAAAACCAAAAATTGCATACTGCAAAGATTACAGATGCAACTACATTATATATAATATACATAATACTAATTATATAAATATTATTTTTTATAATATATATAAAATACTACTTGCATTATTGTACTTGGCAAATTTATCCATTATGCAGAAAGTCATTACATTATACACAGAAGAAGAAAGACTGAAAGCTTTAAAAAGAATGTAAAAATTCGATGAGCAATGTCCATACAAACATTCTTTCATCAAAGGATGTGGAACTTACTACTGTTGCAACACCTAAGCCCAATGCAGCTACAAGGTACGACACAAATATCTCCATCTTCTTTACAGCTTAACTTGTGCACAAAAAACTTAGCTTATTTAGCTTATTATGGCCATCTTTTAATGGACATAAGCACAGTGTTTTCAAATCACACTGTATTAGTTCAAAAACAGTCAGTAGAAAGATGAGAACAAACAGCATTTATATACTGTGACCTTACTAAGCTGCCAGCTTCAGTCCAGAAGTGTGCTTTCTAAGATAAAGAACTTCAGTCTTGGTTTGGTATTTCTTTCCCTGTCAGTACCCACTACCCTTTTTTCAAATCCCAGTTTCTCCTTCATGACTCCTAGTGATAAAATATAATGACAATATTGATAAATTAAAATACATTCAGAAAAAATTAAACACAACTGCAAATGCTGATCAATTTCATGTTACCATCCATTTTAAGTGTAAATCTATAAAATATAATATGAATCATACGCTAGTGGGAGAAGAACTAGAGTTCACTTGCAAAGCAAATCACTAATTCCCTTTCATTATTGTTATGTTCAGGATAGAAATGTTCACTGAAAAGTAAAAGCAAACAGAACTTCACAAAAGGAAAAATATCCCCTAGAAAATAATTTAGGCTGCAATAAGAGCAAAATGAAAAAGAAGACAAGTTGCTACACTGTACCAGACTTTTCACAGGGTATGTAATTAGTCTGGCTTTGGGATACTTACCTTTGAGGGGATATTCCTTACAGAAAAGATGTAGGGGAGAGCTAAATGACCTCTCAAAAGAGGGACTTAAGCATGATAAGGAAAATCATATTTTTAACATTTTGGGGGACACAAGGGGGCAGTAGAAATTGGGGAAAGAAGATGCTTTAAAGAAAGCAAGCACCAGAAATAATTTCAAAACTAATAATCCCACTGAGAAATGCATATAGAGGTGGTTTTATCCCCTAACATAAAAAGCACCGAGTTGTTCTCCTTAATTTCTTTATTACATGGGATTTGCACACACCATGTTTTGAAGATTTCTACTTCCAGCATTTCAGAAGGATTAGTTGGTTATGAAAAAAAAATCCAAGAATGATCTATGGCAACACAGAAGGTCAATAGCAGATCTGGCGGCAGAACTGTCCTTCAAATTCCAGCTCTTGTCCAAACAACTTTACTCAATCATTACTAAATCAAGATAGTGAATATTAGACAATGCACATGGAGGGGGTCTGTGTGTGTCTTCCTACATGATCCAAATTTAAGAATTACTGGGCATTTAGTTCAAGTTATTCAAGATAACACAGAATTCGTGAATTCTACAAAACATGAATTCAGAGAAAATAGAAACTTATTTCACTGTCCTCAGAACACCAGTCACGTGATAAGATTTCGTGTTACACCAATAATTATGCTCAATCTATTGGCTTCATTCAACTTTCCATGTCCACAGCATTCTTCTCTTTGTTCCTTTATGCTGTACTAACAATACTTTGGCAATAATATTTTTCCTGACAATTTTTCCTCCATTTTTTCTTCTGAACAATTTAAGTAACTTTTCAGCAATGACCACTAGTATCTGGGAAAGTCTATTAATAATTCTGTGGACAGCTATAACACCCACATAAGACAGCATATCCAAATTTTTTACATACAACAGAATAGCAAGACAGGGCTGCTTTAAAAAAAATAACCAAAAGCATGTTTGTAAGATTTTTTTTTTCCTGCTCTGTAAAACAGAATATGAAGTTTGAAAAAAGGCTGCACTTCTGTGCAGTCAGATGCCAAACTGGATTTCCCATAAAGCTACACATATCTTAATGTCACAAGTAATTTACTGTCTGCTTTTTTTGTTGCAAGATTGGAAAAAAATGATCCACAAAGAAACATGTACTTAACAGATTTTAACAGAATCAAGTACCTTTGGTGATATAATTCACACATTTCTAGATTTCATTTCTTGATTAAAGCTTAAGAAAAAGCAATAAAATCCATTCAGTGTAAAATGAATAGAATTACCACTATACTATATGGATTATAACACTGGGTTCAGAACTTCTTTCAGAAAACAAGTTTAAAACTGAAATCTTCTTCAAATCTTTTTACCTTGCCAAGACATTTTTAATCTGTACAGTGAAGAGATCAGAATCCTCAAACAGTAGGTCACTTGTTTTATTTTGGGATTTAAGAAATAGGTTAGAATTTCAGGTATTAACGCTTAGCTGAAAGTTGATCTAACTGGTTGTAAATAATTCAATCAATCTCCTCTTAACAAGCTTTAAAAATAATGTCCAGAAAATAGAGTGGTGGCTGGGAGTACTTTGTGCCATTAAAGCCTTGCGGGAGTTTCAGGCCAGAAGTTTTAGTGGCAGTAAAAGAGCAAAAGTTACATCCTCAGAACCAACTGGAAGACTTTGCCTGTGCCATAGAATAAAACTACAGTACAAGGTAACACTGTTAGCTGAGTTATAAATACTTAACATGATGTGACCATAGCATATGAAGCTTAGTTAAGGCTATACTGAAAGAAAGAGTAAAATTCTATGCTCACTAGCTCTGTGCTCACAACTGTCTGCCACTGAACACACAAATCTACACAGGATGAAGAAAGGCTTGGTTCTGTTCACTGAGGAAGTGGTAGCTGGGGGGAAATTGCCTTTTCCTTTCCCTATGAGTGATGGGAGTGATTACTCTCTGTGTTCCCACAATTTGTGTTTCACAATTTAAAGATAACAGCATTTGCATATGACGGACAACCTGTTTGATCCAAGACACTCAAAGCAAGATGATTTTGCAATTGTTGCACTAGTAGAACACCCTTGGTGATTTTTAAGTAATGAGCATACAAGAGGCAGGAAGGAACTTCAGTTCAAGCTTCCTAGATCATCCTCTCATATATTCAGGTAATCTACTTTTATAAGCCTTCTTTGCATTTAAAAAAATATTTCTCCACTTCTTTAAGCTGCCAGTATCTTCTTAATATCCCGGTAATCTGAAGGTTCTTCTGGATAGCTACATATAAAAGTAAGAGCAGACACTGTGAAGAGCACTGTTAAATCCTTAATAAAAAATCACTTACTACCAGATGTACTATGAAAAGCAGTTTTAATTACTGACAACAGTTCATCTTCTTGGGTCAAAGATTCTGCCTCACAAAACTATGGTTTAGTGCCATCACCACTAAAAAAAAACCTTGACCATGATCCTACATGGTTCACATGCAAACACACCTGTCTAATTTAGGAAGAATTTTTAGAAAGAACAAGTAAACAATGAAAAAATCAAGGGAATCAACTGAAAGGATCTCTGCTTTCTTATTGTATTTGGCAGTTCTTCAACCCTACGCAAAACTTAGAAATGGATCTCTTTCAACAGGAAATCTGTTGGAGCTACCAGAATATTAAATGGGTTTTTTTCAGTTTTTCTGAAGTGATAGCACACTATATGTCATCCATAACTTAAACCTGAAAGTACTTTCAAATATCTGTGAGATGAGATTATGACAGTGACTGTAAGTTTGTGCAAGAAATGCAAAAACCTTTAAAAATCATATAGAGTGAGTTAAGTCAAAAGACAGTATATATGAAAAAAAGATCAGACATGATACCAAAAGAAAAATAAAACTTTTGCAGCCTATGAAAAGCAGAATATTATAAACATTTTGGTGGCAAACAAAATGGCATCCATCACCCTTCTGTACAGGTATTTGTTCAGAGCTCAGATGTTTGATGCATTTGCTAAACTTTTAACACTTAAGAAAATTGTATCACATGCCAAGAATTAAGTAAGAACATAAGCATTAGAAAGATCTAGGCAAAAATGAAGTCAGATGAAAAACATTTTAAAATAATTTATCAACCTCGTAACTACCTGGAACAACTCCTTAAAGCTAAGGCAAACAGTATTTTTCAATGTCTGACATTCTTTAAACACAATCAGTGTGTAAGACTGGAAAATAAATGACTCATACAAAAACTTCTAAAACAATGGAAGGTATAATAAGTAAAATAGAAGTAAAATAGAAGTATAATAGAAGTATAATAGAAGTATAGTAGAAGTATCGCAGAAATATAACAGAAGTATAATAGAAAAAGATGTAATAAGTAAAATAAATACTCATTATTATTGATCAGAAGGTAACACTAGAAATGAAGCTGTAAGCACTTTGCATAGCAAATGCATTATTACCACGGGCAGTTTGAGTTCCAGTTACTGAAAAAACTGTATAATGGAAGATTTTAACTATACCCACTTCACTTCATAAGCCAGACTCCCTTGTTCCTGCTGATGTCATTCAGCAGTTTGCTATATTTTACTAACACAAACAAAATAAACATGTTTTATTTATGAACTGTATGCTCAGAATGCTTGGACAAAACATAACATAAATGAGAACTGTGTTTGATTGAAAGGCAACATAATTCATCAATGCTGTAGGATCACTATTTTCAAATACATGTTATATGTAAATTAAGTTAATTTAGAATCAAATAAAATCTCTGCTGAGAAGCATACTCACCCTTTAAAATATAGTCTGTTAACAAGCTTGGCACTTTCTCGCTATCCTCCTTCATGGCATGCAGAACTAAAGTATGAAAAAAAAATCAGATATTTAGTCATAAATTAAACACAACATTTAAAACAAGTACATTGGAGCAGTTCCAGCTACTTGTAGAGATACTACTATGAGATGTAAGAAATCTCTTAACTGAAAGATGAGAAGATACAATGAGACATCAAATCCTCTCCACCCTTTGCCTGTGTAATTCTCATTGAGCTCTATAGTTCTTGGATGCAAGACTCCCATTTCATGTGGTTAATGTTACAGTAAAATGCCATCAGTCATAACAACAATAACAAGCACCTCTTCCCTATAAAAAACTCTCACCAAAAGAAAGTCACGACATCCAAAATTAAAGTATGTTAACAACTACTGATGGGCTGGAAATCTTAGGACAGTAAAGTATGCCCCATTACTTACTGTCTTTAATCATTACTTTAAATAATGGAAAAAATGCAGTGAATGACTCTATGGAAATATTGGTGGTGCTTTTATTCCCTCCAAGAAATGCCGAATGTTATCTGCTACAGGTTTGAAAAATCGTAACTACATGACTAAATTTGGCATTAACTTACAGTAATGTAAAAATGCCATTTTGTGACATATATGAGTGGATCTTGTCCATCTTGCCTATTTCTGAAGAAGGAAAATACATGGACAAGCTTGACTGGACACATATAAGCCTGCCTGTTGCTACATAAAGTAAAACAATCACTATTCTTTATAAAGTGCTCAGGACATAACTGAAAGAAGCAAAAATACAAAATTATACTGAAAAACAATATTTAAGAAATTCCAAATTCCTCATATGAGACTCCAAATTCAAATTATAACACATTTTATTTCAACTTTTACATTGAAGTAAGACATTAGTGTTCATAACTATGCAGTAAGACAGAGCTTTGAAAGAAAAAACCACTGAACAACCCTAGACACCTGCTTTATTGCCTGCCTTAATAACACCAGAGACAGGGAGTCACAAATCTGCAACTGACTCACAGGAGCAAGTTCCAACCAGCCCACAGAAATCAATATTGTTAATACTCTTCACAATGTGTTTGTGCAAGACATTTTTTTAATAAACCACTAAACAACATAAAATGTTTTCAAGAGGCTTTAACACGTGCTTAATAGTGTCAAGTGAAATTTAAATATGGAAAGAGGATAAAATTTCATTGCAAGAATAAACATATAATGAGAAATCCTTTTTCACAAAGTAAGTATGAATTAACACCTAAGGTTGCCTACTGTAGAAAAATAAAGGGAACTTTAATTCCAACTTAAACATTTAATTTACTCTAGAATTTATATAATTATTTTCTCTTTCCAGGAAACAACCAATGAGCCTTTTACCACCCCTCAGCCACCTGTGGAATCACAGGTGAAAATCACCTTAAGACATAGTGAGTTTCTCCACTGAGATCAGATCAAATGCATTGATGCACTCTACCACCTATTTTTAAGATGTTCCTACAAATGTCCAATGAAGGAGATGCTATTGACTCCTAGAGATGCTCTGTTGTATTAAACCACCTTAATAAGTAAGTTTTTTAAAATGCAACCTTGTTTTATTCAAACTAGAATTAAAAAAAAAAACAAAAAACAAATAAAATCAACCAACTAGAAGACTTAAAACTTATAATAATTTTGAGGATTTGGTCTAAAAAAAGCATGAAGAATGGGGAATTCAAGGCATTATCAAAATTCTCTTTGGTTTAGAATTCCAAATTATCAAAATTTATTAACACCAAGATCCCCCCACCAAAACCACAGAGAGAAGCAGGCTATTTTAAAGGCAGTCAAGTGCAATCATTATGCAATCATTATGGAACTAGTCTTAAGTATCTTGACATGCATTCCATTTTGTCAAAGTCATTACAATAACCTCAATAAAGCACAGAAAATGTAAACAAACAGGGTTATATCATGCACTGTAAGACCAAATTGCATGATACGTGGCCAACATCAAAATGTGGGAACATCTACTTCCTGATACATGCAGATTTCTGGCCTTCATAGTTTCAGACAACAGCTAGGAAACAAGCCTAACACAAAGGCTCAGAAAACAAGCCAGACAAAATCTGTGGTCAAAATCATGCACCTTTACATACATGTCCTAGGGTAAGGGGGAAAGAGAGAACTGGATGGATTCATTAGCTTTGAGTAGCCACAACTGGAAATACAACGAGGAAAGGAAATACAATGAGGGGAATTTCATATGCTCACTTTTGGTTAATGTTTGAAGATCTTCAACAGATGGGGGTCCATTTTTCTTCTCATAAGGAATGACGGTTGTTAAGTACTGTCAAATGAAAAACAGAGTTACTTGACAGTCCTTTCATGCAACTTTGTTGTTTGCATTTTATTTTGTAAAAATTGTAGCAATTGAAATAGCTAGCCACAAATAATCATATTTCAGAATAGATTAAGATTCTACCTTTCTATCCCAGAGCTTTCATCACAGAAACCAAGTTTTCTTTTTTTGTCCAAATTATGTGGCCTATAGAAGCCATGCAGCTAACTGTCCTCTCTGCAAAGAAAATCATGCTGCCCCACAGTTAGGTGAAAATGGAAACAGATGGCTTTCACCTTCTGCTGCTATACACTTGCAACCAAAAAGAACAAAGCAAGCCTAATGAAATAAAATACTCCAGAATAAGAATTTGATTTAAATTATGAGTTTTAATAGTTGAGTGTGCTAACAGATAGTTTCTGTTTTTTTAACTTCAACTTCTGTTTAATTCTATTTGCTGAAATCTTTAATTCTTGTCTGCTGAAAAAAACAGCACAACAAAATTTCTTAAATCTTTTAAGATTTTCATACCTGCAGTGCAAATTCTTGACATAACCCTGTTGGTCTTTTATTACATGCCTTTTAGGCAACATCTTGCTTTGCAGCCTATATGAATGCATATTCTCCTTAAAGAGGTCAGAATTTCAAAACTACTAAAAAGCTAGAATTTCCTCTAAGGGAAAAGCTTCCTAAAATTTCCCTCAAGTCAATTTTTAAGAATTAAACAGGAACTTTATTATGGTTTTAAAGCTACAAGGCAGTAGGAAAAGTAACCCTCAATGTCTCTTTCAGTTTGACATCTAGGTAGCTCTCCAGGCAACAAGCAGAAAACATGTTACAAAGAAGGTGCAAGGCGTCCTCCTCTCCTTGATAACAGTCCTTCAGCGAGTCAGGTGTAACTCAGCCTATGGTGAAGAGCTGCACTTTGCAGAAGGAGGCTGAGGGTTGCCACTCGCAGCTGTAACCACTGCCACGTTTGCAGCAGGATCACGCACCTCATGCCCAACCACATCATCTGCCTAAAATCCACACATAACCTAAAAACCACACAGACTCAGCTTGGCCACACTTAACCAATTGTACAGGTGGTACTGACACCTCCCCAAGATCTTTTGCAAACATGGGGTGCTTTTCTCCCTTCCTTTTCTTTTGGCATTTCCTCATGTCTACTCAGCACAGCAGAGAAAGGTATGCAATTCTTCTCAGGAAACAATCAATTTTCACTTTCCAGGAGATGAGACCAACAAGTATCACCAGAGAACTGCTCTCTTAATAAAATTACCAGAATCAATAGCTAGATATAAGGCTGCCGAATCTGCCAATGGCAGAGATGAAAGTGGATCTACCAACAAAGAAATGAGATTTCTGGCTGTCTTTTCCAGCCGTCAGAACTACGTGGCATTCTAGCCTTTACCTGGACAATAAAATACCAGGATATTTCAATGTACCAAATATCAACAAACCCTATTTCCCTTCTCCTGTAAACTTTACTTTCCATTTTTCCTCTCTATCAGTAGCAATTAAAAAAAGGAATTTCTTAGTTTCCAGAGATACTTTCCTTCTACTTATCAACTTTGCAGCTGTACAGTCAGTCTCTATAATAGCACTATAAAAACTCATTTCCTGAATTGCTGTGTGAAGGATAACATATTACAAAAAGAATGAAGGAGTGACTGAAGTGTAGCTTACTGACAAGACCAAGTGTTAAATCTGCTGTGACCTCTAAATTTTTGAGGCAGACTTGATGGCATGATAAAGTGGCAAGTCCCACTGCAATTTTTCATCACATAGGAAAAGTGTTTGATATGCCTGAAATCAAAATGAAAATGACTGTCTTGAATTTTCTTCTGGAAATGTGATAAAAAAAAAATTTTTTTTTTTTTTTTTTTTTTTTTTTTTGACTACATTATCAGATAGGAGCAGGGAGTTCTCATTGGAAATTTCTCTTTACATGGTGAAAATCCCTTAAGTAATTTTTACTTATGTCTCAAACACATGCACAGAAAATGGGACTAAGATTTTAAAAAGGGAAGTACTCACTATGAGATGGTAGTAGAAGGTGGTAAATACCACTAAAATTAATAAATGGAAAAGAGCTCTGAAATAACTGTACAAACTTGTCAAACTTTTTTATGTTGTAACCTTTCTGAAATAACTGTACAAACTTGTCAAACTTTTTTATGTTGTAACCTTATGTTAGAACTTCTGGCTTCCAAGGTACACAAAAAACTGTGTCTGTCCTTGCATTTTTTTTATCACAATTCCAGATTTCTAACTAATTATTCCCTGCTAGCAGAAAACAGCTGAATGTGAGTTTATAATGACACCCTGAAAAAGCTCTCTAGTTTATATTGTGAGAGCAGCATTAAGAAACTGAAGATTTGATACTTGTTCAATTTTGCAACTTGTGGCAATTAGAAGGTTACACCAGTATCTCAAAAGCAGTGCCAGGGTTTGGTAGTGAGACAAAAAATCCTTATCCAATAAAAACCTTCAAAACAGAAAACAAATGCCATAGAAAAATGGATTTCCAGGAATAAATCATAACAGAGCTGGTATCTTCTCTACCTTTCTACTCTATATTTTATTTTAAGTTCATATTACTTCCATGATTTGCTTTAAGATACAGGAAGGGGAATAAACCCCCCCCCCCCAACCATAAGAATATAGACAAAGATACATTAGTAAATTAATTCAAAACATGAAAAAAATGGCTGGAAGAATTATTCAATCACTGTTATTTTTAACATATGGTACTTATGTCTACAAAACCAAAAAACAAAACAGCACACTGTTTCGTTTTACAGCTTTACTAGTACTGTGATAATGCAGTGATAAAAAATCTTGTTGGGAAAGCTCTGTGCATGTGCTCAAGATCCCCAAAACTGAGGACAAACAAATAACTGGATCAACGTATTCATAAAATCTCATACACAAACCTTGCCTGAGAAAGCAGGCAAGTCTTTGATTTCGAACCTCATGATTACAGAATGACTTGAGAGGAGTTGCTTTACCTCCCAAACTCCTCTGCAGGATACAACACTCATCTTCCAGACGAAAGCCTAATCAGCCTTGACTTCTAAACTACCAGTCAATTTATTACCTCAATGGACTTCTCACCAGGGGGTAAAAAACCCTCTAATGGACTCCTCTGACAGAACTGCATAAACTAAAATAGTGGGTGCACATTAAATAATGTTAAATACCAATATTTTGTAGTGTGCCGTAAGACTAAACAAAAGCATAAGCATTAGCAGTTTGCTAAAATTCAGAATGCAGTTAATAAAATACTACAGATCTGAAATGGCAGGCAAGTTATTACTCTGAAAAAAGGCATAAGAATCTTGCTTCCAAGGTACACACAACATCTATATTATGCCCACTGAAGCTGTCTGTCTGCTCTACATTTCAATATTTAGACATTGAAAAGACACAAACTTGCCTACAGCTCATTTATTTTATGTTGGTAATCTTCATCGTACATATTTGGCTACTTTTAAAATCATGCAGTTTTCAAAAGCAAAAGACAATACAGTCTACATTTTCTAGATGCTACTCTGTTTTTAGATGTATCAGTTCTGAACATGTGAAGAAAGAAGAAAATAAAAGCTTTTTTCATTATGCAAGTTGCTAATGTTGAAGGCTGAAACACTGCATCTAACCTGATAGACATTCTTTGACTGGTTATTAGATTTTTACAGACATGCAGTGTATCTAAAGCATGCATTATGCTAAAAGAGACTTTTAGTCTGGGGTGCGAAATACGGGTTATTAGCTCAGTGCATCAGGGTATCAAGTCTTGAATCTCTTGAGCTGCTGAGGAGAGAAAGAGATTGTAGGCTGATCAGAAACCTCAGGTAGGGAGGGAACAGAGATTCCAGCATTTTATCCTGTTTTCCTGTCTCAGCATTTATCTTCAGCTACTGTCAATTTTCAAGATCTCAACTCTGACCAAAAGTGCAGGCAAAGAATGAGAAAAAAGGGAGAAGATAGCCCAGCACCTGTTTCTCTCCACTCGAGTTTCCAAACGTGTGGCGGAAGCCATTCTGTATGACATTTGAGATCCCTTCCATGCTGAAGCGCTAAAAGTAGTGAAAACATAGCAGAAAGAAAAAAAAAGGGACAGAGAAAAGTTCAGAAGACTATTAATCAGCATTTATCAAGACTGCAAGTCAAATGGCAAAGACAAGCTCCAAGTTGTATTTCAGCACATTTCTATTTCTTCACTCTCCTACTTAATTTTTTTAATTAAAAAGCAAACCTTATAATGGCAGTTAAGCAGTATTTCTACACCACAATTTATTCAAACAAAATTTTCACATTGCAGACCTGATAATGGAGACTTGCCTTTTATGGCTGTTTCAATTAGAAATGGAAAAAAATAGCATTTTTCGAAGCGCAGCTCACAGTAAAATCCCCTCTAACATTAAATAATGTATGTTTAGAGACACTACTGACACCAATTTTTCAGATCTTAAGCATGTACTAGAAACACTGTTCAGAGGAAGCCATTTCCAGTTCCACCTCTTTAAAACTTTTTATGCTTTCATGCTTCCTTTTCTACAACTGAAGCAACAGTGAGTATTCCCTGTCTTATGTAATATCATAAAATATACACAATTAGGTAATAATACACCCATATTGATTTCAAGCTCCATTGCATGGAATTATGGAATCCAAGTAAAGAAAAAGCAGTATATAATTCAACTACAGATTTTTCCTTGAATTTTGTAATCCCTTTTGCTTGCTGGAGAAGTTAAAAAAAATAAAAAATAAAAAATAAAAAATAAAAAATAAAAAATAAAAAATAAAAAATAAAAACAGTCTTGATTTTTAGGATGTAATATAAAATCAGCAAGTGACATGAACATAAAAAGAAGAAACAGCCAAGCTGCTGACACAGGGCAGTATGATGAGCACACCTCAGCATGTTTATCTGAATGTAGTTATTTATGTGAGAAGAATAAAATGTGCTGGAATACAATATTCTTTTACCTTCTAAAGCACACAAGGTCAGTAAAGACATAAATTTTGCCAGAGCCATCTTATCTCTTTTAAGATATCCTACTTGAAGGAACTGGTATCTTCAAGCCCTGACTATTTTTAACTGTTTCCCAGTTTCCCCTTGCTGAAGAGTTAAAAGTTTACAACTCTAAGAAACTGATTTACTCAAAGATGGTATTAAGGACAAATTCATACCTATTTTTTTTTTTTATATTCAGTTATAGTATCTACAGAAAAATTAATTTTCTTAAGAGTATGACAATTTAACTCTACTTCCCATCTTTGTCTTTAAATGAAACTTCATTGTAGTTAACAAAATAACCAATTAATACATGATTTATTAACAGAAACACAGTCTTCACAAAGCTACTAGAACATACTCTCTGTATGCACATTCTCAGCCATTCAGATAAAAAAAAAAGGAAAAAAGGATTGTTGAAGAAGGGAACCTTGAACCTTGCAGCTCTTTTTGGGAGAGGGCTCTCAAATCTGTCCTTGATGACAATGAAATCTATTTTCAAAGGAATTACATGCAGCTACAGTCTTACCTATGAGCTAGTCTGTTCAATCCCACTTAGAAAGCAACCTGACATATCTGTATCTTGAAGTGACCAAATATGAAAATGTCTTATCCTGGGACCATGTAAGTTATACCTGAAAGCATCATTCAAGTTTCTTATCTTTAAACTAACCAGAACAGTTTGAGATTCACTTAAGTTTCAAAACAAAGAAATTATTTTTCTTTCTAGGTAGAACATCCCTTTCTGGTTTTCCATGACTGGGAAGGAAAAAGGAATTGTGTTCTTGTAAAGGGATGACAATTTTGTATTGTTTTCCAGACTTATACTTTCTTAAGTTCACTAAAACTTAGCTATGCACACAAACATCTCTCATTCAACAGATGAGATCAGAACCTTATATCCTTGCAAGTTTAGAAATAAATTCTGAAATATTAATATTTCATTATAAATGTTTATTCCTTACATTTGAAAAGCAAACCCTGAAACCTTCTGATGTTGAACTGAAGCATTCCTTCTGGGACTTAGCCAAGACCTACAAAACATTTTCTTCATCCCATAAGAAGTACTATGAAATTCAGACATTAATATCTCATTTAAGTAATTTTAAATTATACTAGATGTAAGAAAGAAAAATTGAATTGACAAGCTAATAACCTAATTTCTTTGACTCTTCTTATCCAACTCTACTTGAAAGACATTTTTCCTTTTGTTGCTATGTTCTGTAAATAAAACAAATTATCTCCTCCCTGTACACATGCACTACACTTCTGGCCTCTTTCTTGTCACTTGTTGAATGAAGTAACTCTGCCACAGGTTAGGAGATCCAAGGTAAGACATTCACATTTTTCCTACCTAGAAACTAGCATGATCAATAAGTATCAGTGCAACTACAGCAACAATAGTATTGAATTTCCTGCAAGACTAACATACACTAAAATTCACACAGTGAAACCAAACACATAAATTAATTTGCCTACTGAGAATAGAACACAGAACAGTACATCCAAAGACAATATTTTTTGCAAGAAAGGTATGCTAGTTCCAGGCTAATTTGCAAACAGCTGAAAAAAATCTTTTCTGAATATGAGAAGAGTAAAATACATGACCTTGTGAAAAAAAACTCTCAACAGGAAGAGCTTAACCCTTGTTTATGAATGGTGGCATGGAAGCAGGAGCACCAGGTATCTTAATATAATCTAGGACTACTACTTCCCACAGCAGAAAAAAACAAAAAAATATTCTAAATGTATAAATACTTATAAAAAATTTTCTTACTGTTCCAGGCATATGACCTCTTTCTTGTTTGCCATTCTGAGGACTACCATTTTTCAGCTTCTTTTTCTTCTTTGCCGTTTCTTTATGTTCTCGTTGTTTGTTTTGTACTTCAATGAGGACAGAAATGAAGCTGTTTTTCACTTCCTTCTCAAACTCCAACTCATCTCGTAGAGCCAGCTGCTGTACCAGTTCCTCAGAATAATCCTTAATAGCAGTCTCAATTTCTTCTAGCAGTTCATTTAATTCAGCAACGGACAATCTTTTCACTCCTAAAAGTAGTTCATACACAAATATGTCAAGATTTTAAACATGAGAAAACTTGTGGGAGTTACAAGAAAAACGTACTCTGAAATTTCTCAACACAAAAAATTCAGTTCTAAAACCACATAGAACAAAACAGTATTCCTAGAGGAATAAACACATCCCAGAGGTGACAAGATTAGCAACAAAAAGATGGTGAAACTTTCTTCTTACTTCTGAGAAATCTGAGATAATCTGCAAATATGAAGAATGTGCTGGTAGTTTATGCTGGAAGCTGAAGGAAGTGCTAAATTTCTGACACAACTATAAACTATTACTTTCCTCTGCACTCACTGTTTGAAGGAAAAGGCCTTTGTATTTTCTGAACTATTGGGTGATGTGTTACTGATAGTGCAGTTATGATGAAGAAAATGTTTTGAGGCTTGCTTGAGTTAAGAGTGAGCAGATCTTTGAGGATTGTATTTGGTTCCAGTTCAGGTCTGACACACCTAGGAAGCTGGCAAGTCCCAGCAGTTGCTGTGTTGAAGAACATAATCTTATTTGGCACCTGAGAAACAGCTAGTCCTGATTACACTGACAGGTACAATCTGTTTAAGGACACTGCATAGATGCTTGCAATTATTTTGTTTCATTGAATTAGTCTAGTAAATACCATGTCTACAAGAGTTCTTGTTAGGGAAAGTACCTACAGACAAGTGTTGAAAAATACAAATAAGGCCACAAACTACAAAAAACTGTAGCTCTTAGAAGCATCAAAGGTAGGATGTGAAATGTGAATTTTTTCTCTTAAATTACAGCAGGGAAAATTGATTGGCAAAAGCTCCTTGTCACTTACTTAACTGAAGAGAAGGCAATGAAACCTGTCAAGACAATTCTGTCAAGGAGCCAGTTTTTCAAGGTAGCTTAGGCCTTAAACTCTGTTCAAAGACTGTAACAGTACTGAGAGAGAGCACCTGTGAATCCCAACACTTAAGAACCAGCTTCATAGCCTAAAAACCAATTTTTCTAAAAACAAAGGTGTAGGTTACCCAACTGCAGTCCTGACTGATGACAGATCAGTAGTCATTATCAAAGTCTTGAAAGGGCTACATAGGAAATAGCTAATGCAGCTGAGTGGAGACAGAGGAATTCAAATGCAGAAAACCACATGGCCTGAAACTTAGTAGGCTGAAGAACTCACTTGTGTAACCAGAGCTTTATTTTTGGACTGCCTTAATGTATGCCTTTTCCTATCCAAGAAAAAAGTAAATGCAAGTGATTTCCTGCTCTGAATCTGAATGAATGAAAGTCTCTGATCTATCTTACAAAAACCACAGTTTCTAGGAAAAACCGGTACAAATTTCAGAGATGCAGACCAATTCTGGAGCACCTTCACACACTAAAAATAGGTAGCAAGAGCTTTCAATAAAATAGTGACCTGAAAGACATGAAAGCAGATTCTGAGAAACTGGTGAAGCAAAGTTAAATTATCTGCCAAAATAACTCAAGGCATTATTTGGTCGAGACTGACCTTTAAACTGTAAAGATACAACAGACAAGATGGACTCCTGAGGCAAAGGAAAACAGATATGATATGAAATACCGATCAAGCTTGATTAGCTGCAAACCTTAAGACATATGGAACTGTCAGAAAAGCAGGAAGCCCTGCTGAACACAATACATTTTGCTTTCATGTTCTTGAAATTTATGTGTTGAGACAGTTAAGAGACCATTTTCATGGTTGGAATCTCTTCCATAAATCTGAAATGTAGCTGAAGCTCTAAGTCATGTCACAAGAGGTTGGCCAATTTTCTGAATCTACAGAGTTTGCACTGCTGATCCAGACTACAGGAAAGAAAGCACCAAACTTTTAAAGAAAGACCGAAGTAGAAAGATCATCTACCAAATATTCTTTGTGTCCCTACAACCTTCTAGAATTCTTCTTGACAAATGCACAGATTAAACAAAATTTTCCATCATGAAACTGATTAGTCACAGTTTTTTTACATACAATTCAACCTACTACAATTAAATAATTCATCTAATTTCTACTTTGCTTTTATATAGGGAAGCACAGATTATTTCATCTGAATAGAAGATATGAAGGACATTTTTAACTTTTAAGCTTTCTGAAGAGGAATGGAAAGGGAAGACTGAAAAATATGCAAGGTCTTTATGGGGCAAAAAATAAATGGTTGCCTTATTTTTGTGTTACTGTCTATGTTGCAACGAGTGAAACTGTACCAAAGGTATGTTACAGCTTTATTTACCCAATAGCTTTCAAGAGCTTTAGCTTAAAGTGTACTGGCATCAAGAAAGTGTCTCACTTTACAGAAAATAATGAAGTTTAATAAAAAATGACCAACTTACCACTTTACCCATGAAGGAATCTCATTCCACTGTATCAACCTTCAGAATATTTGCTTTAAATTGAAATTCTATAAAGTCTTATTTTTGTTCTTAGTCATAAAAAAGCTGACAAAGGTAAGTCCTCTAGGTACTAAATCTAGGCTATTATTTTGAAAATATTTTTGAATGTAGATATTTCATAAGAAGGACTTACTAAGAATCAAACACATGGCAAACTTACCCTTTAAACTATTTTCAATAAGCATAAGAGCAAAAATACAAACTAAGTACCACTTACTCTCTTCATAGCTGTTGTTTGTACTGGATCTCTTGAGGGTCTGAATTTCCTGGGAAAGTATAGAGAGCCGATCTGATTGGGTGGGCGTTTCATCATCTTCTGGATCAGGCGACTCCTGCATCATTTCCTCTATTTCTTCAATCACCTTTGAAAAATGAAAACCCTTAGGAAAACCCTCCTACGTGAAGAGCTTGCAACTTGAAGCAAAGCTGGATGAAAGATGAAACTACCACCAAGAGTGGATATATGAGGATCAATAAAATCATACTGACATTTCCTCCCCATCCTTGCTCTCAGAGCATAATCACACCTTGTAACAGTAAATTGGTGATGGCATAACAAGCAGCATGTTGAAACTACAGGGTTATTTCTATATGAAGGTACCCATGATTCTGCTTAAGAGAACTAAATAAAAGAGTAAGATGGAGTATCTTTCCTGAGTATCCAGTTGAAGGCAGACACAACAACAAAAATCACCTACTCCTATTTCACCACATTTTTCTATGTAAAACAAACACACCTCCCTCCTCCAACAAAAAAACAACAAAATGAAAAGAAAAAAAACAACAAAAAAACCTTACAAAAACCCCTCTGAAAAACCAAAAAGCCCCTCAGAAAAGCCTAAAAATCAACTGTGCTTGTGAGAAGGTTTTGAACCGATCCACCATAACCTGAAGCTGGTTTGCATCCCTGGGCATAAGACCTGAGCCAGACAGAAAGTATGACAACAGAAATTCTGTGCATAGATAGCTTACTTTAAATCACATAAATTACTACATTTCTACAGGCTAAATGTGAATAAATAACACAGCAACTTTTACAAGTTTAAAGGCTGTAGTCAGTGCTGAGATCCAACTCACAGTAAAAAAGAGCTGCAGCAATTCAAGCAGTCCTACCTCCCATACTCTTAATAACTGTGTTCATCATAATTCACAGCTTAACCATTGCTTAACCATTTAAGCAACAACAAAATAGATTATTTGTTTGTTTACTAAAGCAGGATTTTAATAGACCTTACTCTCATTAACCTTACTCAGAAGAGCAATTTTCAAAATAATTGAAGTAAATCCACGGATTTGAAGGCTTTAGATACCAAGTAATTTGAAAGCTTATAGTAGCAGAAATACTGATCTGCCTTCATGTTAGGCAAAAACTTCAAAGAATTCCTGCTAACAACAAAGCCCTGTGAAACTATGAACTGCCACACATTCATGCTGGAAAACTACAAACTCTAACATACTGCTAAGATTCTGAAAATATTTTTTCTTTTTAACACTTATATTTAATTTAGTAGCATTAGTTGTATAATGCTAATAGCACTAGCATTCCTGTCTAATTCATGGTAAGAAATATACAAAGACTTCAAAGAGCCTGAACTATCAACCTCACCTGAAGTACTGAAACACTTTTCAAATCTGAATGAAGTAATGATATCTCTCACATCATTAAAACCCTAAACAAAGAACAACCAAGAAGCTTAGCTACAGTGAAGAGCAAGAACAACGACGAAAAATAATAACAGTTGAAAAAAACATTCTACAGCAACAACACTGTCTGCTGAACACTTTACCTGCTCTGCTGTGAAGAGTGGCTCTTCATTGATGCAGGAAACAATTATAGAATGCATATCCAACTGTTCTCTCAGCTCTTCATCATCTGACAAGTCAAGGTTCAAGTTGTCATTTACCTAAAAAGCATGAAAAGGTGTATTTATATAAATATATATATACCCCTAATGTGAGGGTATAAAATGCATGTAGCGTACAAAAAACAAAAGGGGAACAATCACTGAATTTTAAGAATGAAACTGAATCTTGGTTCATAATAATGGAATCAACAGTTCTTTCTGTCAAATAGCCTGGAAAATTAAATCAAAACTGCAACTGGACAAAGTTAAAACAGCTGTCAATCTTTAATGTTGTTAAATAAAGTCCATATATAAAGACCATATACACACTGACATGCAGATATCTACATGTGAGGTTGTCAAGTAAATACTTAGATCTTAAACGAAGATTGAAAAATGTCTATGTGGGGTGAAAAACTTGCCTATAATGTCTAATGTTACACAAACCTCTTACTTTAAGTGAAAGCACTTAAACTTTGTGCTTTGGAACTATGGTTCCACTTTGTCACATAATAAAATACATGGAAACAAGCTGAGAAGAGTTGATATGGAATGGTGATATCAGAACGCTATCACCCCAGATTATCAAAAAAAAATGTGTTGCTGAATATCTCAGGATATTTTCAGAAAGAAAGAGAAATAACACTGTTCCCATATATATCACTAAATGATATTCATAAATTCAAACCAAAGATATACATACACTAAGAGACACAAGTCCTCTACTTAATAAGTCAGGCATATTTTACTCTCACACAGTGATATATCCTGGTTTATTTACAAAATTGTTTCTATACTTTGTCTACTACTAGATTCCAGCCTAGAAAAGCTCCTCAAAGCTGAAAACCCCAATATGTGCCATTTGAACTCAACTGCTTTAACTGACCTTTGGGCTAATTTACAAACATCACATTTACACACATTTACATATGACTGGCCATACAAAGTCCTTGATTTGACAGTATCAGTTTTTAATTTTTCTTGTAATTCCTCCAGTTTTCTCAGTTTCTTCAGAAAACTTAATAGTTTTCAGATTCATTTTGAATCTGCAACTGATATCCCCAGAGAGCCCATCGGTAGAGGAAAACACACAATTTGCACTTCTTCAGCCCTCAGAATGAAGTTGAATGTCCACTTTTTCCCACAATTTGAATTCCAGTAAATGTTCAGTGGCAAGACTCCACTATGACTCTCTCTTCACCTACTACACAGATACATTCCAATTTGACATTTTTTAAATGTCCACTGTCCTCAAATACCTTTTCGTGCACACAGGCTATGACAACAATGATGGGACAGTAAGCAAGGATAACAGTTTATCTAGAAGGAGATCTGCTTTCCCTCCTGACATCTCCAGAAACATTTTGAGAGACCTTCAAATACATTTTGATAATACAGACTAATAAACCACCAAAAATGGCATCAGCTGTAATCTGGACTAAAAAGAACACCTGGCTTTCCACCTAGCCACATTCTATGCCTCCTTCTGTCCTCCTGCTAGCAGGGAATGACCTATTTAAAAGTAATCTAGCCAAAACAAAACAAACAAGGAATTGCACAATCCCATTCCCTGTACCATTGTGCACAACACTTCTACCCAGCTACTTCTTTCACTGTCAGAGATGTGTAAAATTGTGCACAGACCTGTCATGTGAAGGAACCAAGATCAGGCAAATCAGTCTTACTGACCTTGTATCTTTCCCTACTAAAACAGGAATTGTTTTCTTGTGTGCTTTCTGCACAATTTTGGTAGCATATTATTAGTTTCAAACGCATGCATCAGGGAAGTGTTGCTTAGCTGTTAGTTTTCATTGTAAGGAAAAGAAAACAAGATACTAGCTGGTCCATATGTGCTGTCACATATCCAGCAATAGTGCTGAACACAGAGCAGCAGAAGAAAAGTATGTCAAATGCTCCCCACAGCCTTTACACATCAGAAGGCATGCCATGTGGAGTGAAAGCTGAAAAAACTTGAGATACATTCATCCATGAACTGGTTTTCTCTCTACTGGCAGCATACCTAAGATACTTTCTAATCCAGCAACACTACTTTACACTTTTTTATGTACTTTTTTCCTAACCTCCTGCAGGAAACTTACAAAAACTATATGAAATATTTTCTTATGCATTATACTTAGTTCTTTATCAAGAAATCCATTAGTCTTCTAGTTGATTTTTCCCTGACACGAGGTCACAGCATGGCAGGGTTGTATTTTTAGTTAAAATGTAAGAATTTAATTACTCTAAAATCACTTACAAAATCTGAACAAGGATTCAATAAAAATTGGAAGAAACACAAGTCAAATTCAAGGGATAACCATGAGACTCAAATCAAGAAAATTAATTCCAAATTTGCACCTTCCTCTAGTGAACCCCAAAGTATCCCCTTCAGCAGAACAATCTTTTCTCCTGTCACAGTAAAAAGTATCTGTTGATTATCTAATGGATGGCAGAAGCCAAAGCATTATCTGATTCTCAGGTTATGCACTCAGATATTTTTATAGCATCACTGAACTTCACTGTTTAAAGACAAGCCACTAATTTTGTTAGAAAACTGTGAGATGGGAATTCCTCCTAGCTTTTCTTCCTGAAGTGCTTAATCCACTTTTAAGATCATCAGAGGACAACCCTTTCTATAAACCTCTCTGAAGCTCTTAATTCCCTGTTCCCGCCCCAGAGAACTATTCTAACTCTTAAATAAGGAAAACAAAACAAACTCTTGCACTTCAGTGTCTCCTGGGCCACCTTTCTTGTTAAAGAAGCCATCTGACTGTGGAATTATATGAACTTTAGAAAGTCCTCACTGGACTTATGAAATCAGAGTACTCCCACCTCTTCCTTACCCAGATCAGTGTTCAACATGAATCATATACCAGAAAGATTTTATGTGAAACAGTATCTCATTTTACATTTTCCTCTATCATGCTCTGGCTCTAATGAAGAGTCATCTAAAGCTAACCCTGAATTATTCCAACCCAGGGAGATACAAACATACATCAATGGTTCTTTGATTTTTAAAAAGCTCTCATGTATAATGGCAAGTACTAAAAAAATGTTCAGCCACTTAATAACAACATTCTTTTATACAAATTCAAACAGCTTTAGTTCCCTGTTGTGTATCAAAGATCCAAAGAGGGTACTTCTCCTAATCAGAACTTACCCCTTTTTCTGAAAGATTCAGTGTTGGCAAGTGCAAAGCTCTGGTGTGGGAAGATTTCCAGTCAACTGGCATCACATTGCCATAATTATCAGTCAAGGCATTCCAAATCCTGGAGAAAAGAATAAAGGAGTGAAAATGCAGACCTCAAAACAAGCAGAAACTGAATCAACAATAACCCTATTCCTAATGCTCATGTATCTCTATCAGTAACTGTATTTTCCTCCCTAAATATTCATCTGGAAGTAACTGATAAAATTTTTAGTGTTTTAAATCTATGAGAATATGCTTTTTGATAAACATAATTTACTTCCCTTGTTAAACAACTTTGTTTAACAACAACACAAATATGCACAGCAGTGAAAAAAAATCCAATAAACGAAGACACAGTTTCTATACTAATTATGTAACTACACACAAAATCTTTTCTGGGGGTGGATGAGCCTTTCCTTCAATGAAATTTGAGCTGAGCTATAAATTACATTCCTAATGTTGTTTAGCAGAGGCTGAGTAGCAAATTCTGAGCCAAATATTTTCTTTTTTTCCTTTCCATTTATCACAGAATAATGAAAATGCAGAAATCAGATGAAAATTTTGGAAGAATTAATTTTTTTTTTCTAGAAGTGTTCTTGCAGAGCTCAGCCCACAACTCTTGAGCTCGGTCAGCCTAGTGTTTCTAGAGTGTACATCCTCTCCGTCCTGGAGGCTTGCCCATGCAGACCTACGATGGTGAAGCAGCTTTGTCTTAAAGCACAGCTGCCCTGTGAGCAGGCCGCTTCCCCAAGTCCCCAGCCAAGCCCTGCCTCCAGGCGCTTTGCTGCGGCTGGATGTTCAGAATGGTTTCCTAGCTAAGGCTCACCGAGGTCAGACGAAAGGCCGAGGCAGACAGAGCCTTATCACTGAACTGCCCAACGTGATTCATGGTTCACCGAACTTACCTCGCTGCTTACACCACAGATCTAGTATTTTGCTAACAGGCTTTTCTTTTTATTCCTCTCTTAGAACATGACATACAGTTTAGTTACTTTAAAGTAACTGAAAAATTTTTAATGAAGCTGACTAAATTTACTATAAAATAAGAAATCGAAATAATAGTAAAACAGTGTTAAAAACTGTACAGCAGCATGGCTTAGAAAGGCTCTACTCCTCAGGCGAAAAAAACCCAAACAATTATCGCAGCTGCAGCTGCAATTTTGTTCTTTGCCTGCTTTCTTCACCTCCCATGTTTAATTTCAAGCACTGAGACAGTGGGCACTTTGCAAGAAGCAATACAAATACTAACCACGGTCACTGCACTTCAGAACAAGTACTTCTCGCTAGCTCGGCGGGGTAAGAAGCTCTGGGATGCTCGCACGCTTCCCTGGCAGTCAGAGGGATAGAGCCGGAGGGCTCCCGGTCAAACCCGCGCAGCGGAGGCCGAACGTGCCCCTTTGCCGAAGCCCGGCGGATCCCGGCTGCAGCCCGGGGGCGGGGAAAGGCTCCGCTCCCGCAGCCCACAAGCTCTGCCGGGCTCGGCAAGGCCCAGGGGCAGCGCTCTCGCAGGGCAGGGCAGGGCAGGGCAGGGCTGTCGGGCCGCGCTGTCCCCTCAGGCCGGGCCGGGCCTCCCCTCCGCTCCCTCTCCGCGCCCCCCGGCCCGCACTCACTCGTCGTCCTGCAGCGCGCTCTGCTCCGTGAGCGGCCGCAGCGGAACGCGGCTCTCGCCGCCGCCAGCCCGGGCCTGCGGGGGCTCGAAGCAGAGGGACAG